AAAGTAATCGTATAGCTGCTCTGTCTTTTCTCTCTTCCAGATTATAGATTCCCCTGGCTTTGCTTTTAATTGACCCACATTCATTTTAGCCAAACATTACTGTTTTGCATACCTGTAGATCCATTCACAGTTCATTTTTATGTTTTTGCAAGATTGCATATATGTATATTTTCTTCTCCCTTCTCAATTTTTTTTTCATAGTTGTTTGCTGCATTCTAAAAGATTCCAAAACTTCAGATTTATTATCATCATCTCTGGCCACTTTGTCAGCCATGGTTTTGAGTTTTTGCACATTGAAGGAATGTGTATTTGCTGTAAGCAATATAATAGTTATTTAAAGACTATCCACTGCTTATGTGCTGTCATGCCTTTTATGTATTTTACCAATCTAGCTCAGCTAACTTGTGCCTCATCTTTTCAAAATTTAATTTATTCAAATTTAACATCCTTGCTTTAGAATGAAGTACCTCGCCTTCAAGCATTATGTAACATTCTGTGATATTATGGTCACTGTTTCCAAAAGGATCTTTTACAATAAGATTATCAATAAGCCCTTTGTCATTACATAATACTAAATCTAAAATAGCCTGACCTCTAGTTGGCTCCTCAACATACTTCTCTGAAGAAATATCCCCAACATACTTCATTTCTCCAGTCTCCTAGTGTCCTACGCTGCTTTTCGACTTCTAGTTACCACGTTAACCTCCTGCCAACTTGGGTTACCCTTATGTTTCCATCTCTTTGTGAAGCTAGTTTAAGCCAATCCCAACAGCATTATCAAATCTCCCTGTGAGGACGTCAGTCCCAGTCCTGTTAAGATGCAACCCGTTCAGTTTGTACAGGACGCACCTGCCCCAGAATTGATCACAACGCCTCAGAAATCTGATTCCCTTCCTCCTACACCAGTTCTCAAGTATTCAATTGTTCGATCCTCCTATTCTTATACACATGGCACTGGGAACAATCCTGAGGTTGCTGTTGTTGAGATCCTGCTTTTTAATTTCCTTCCTAACGTCTTAAATTCTCCCTTCAGGCCCCCATTCCTCTTCCTCTTATGTCATTGGTCCTGGTGTGGAGCAGGACTTTTGCAAGGGTGTCATGCAGCAATTCCTTGGTGACATTGACCCTGGCACCAGGGTGGCAATATTCCATCCTAGCGTCCTGTTTCACGCTTCAGAAACCCTATCTGATCCCCTGACTCTGGAAGTCTGTATCACTATTGTCGTCTAGCAGCTATCCCTGTCTGGCCCATGGACCTTGGATAGAGGCAGGTACCTGTGGGTTCTCCATGTTGGCATCATGGCAGCTCGAAGGATATCTAGCTCAGACCTCCAGAATTGGGCATCGATGGTCACAGATAAGCTGAATATTGATGGAATGGAAGTCTTTCCTGTCACCAAACTCTGCTGTTGGTGAGAAGGCTCTCTCAAAGCAATATGGATACAGTCCGTAACACCCTGGATCTGGGGAAACCCAGTCTGGTGGAGAATCCCACTAGCCAAGCTGCTTGAGCCTTATCATCATGGAGGGGGTTATAAACGGGCGTGACCTGGCGAAAATGGTATCAGTGACACCCCTGTTGCACTTGTGGGTTGAGGATTGGGAGTTGCCACTTCTGTCCCCATTGCACCTTGAAATGAGCCACTGATATAAACATTCAGGGCAGCTGTAAACCTAGTGGCCAACCTTACACAGTCCTGCTCCAGCACCTGACATGGTTTGTTGATAATGGCCTGGGTCATCTTTAATCTGTGCCTGTTTCTGAGAGCTGGAGAAAATACTGTGGATCAAGTGTCTCATCATTCCCCTCCACCTACAAGCTGGATCTTCACCTTGTGTGCTTCTTCCCCTAGAGGTTAGGTGGCAGCCACAAGAGGTTGCTGGTCTTGCTGGTTGACGTTATGATTGCTGTTTCCTTCTACAGTGTCTTCACATTAGCGCCAAGGCCACAGCAATGTCCAAATCAGGTGCATTGCCGAGCCCAGCCAGGACTGGTCCTCTTTGATTTTCAGACATGGCTGTTTGATTGAAGCACATGCTGTGTCTTTGCCACATTAGCTGCTGATACAGGCTGTAGGTGTGACATTGACATAGCACGGTGCTGTACAGCAACATGTTCACCCTCGTGATTGTTCAGTGCTTCCAGCCATAGAAGCTGCACTAAAAAACAATGTAATCCAAAGAGGCTGGTAGCCTGTAACTTAGCAACAAAGGACCCGTGTGATAAAAAGTAATGGAAGCCAGAGTCTCCGACTACATGCAAGGTGAGTGAGCACTAAGAAATGAAGCGAAGAGCCATAAGGTGCATCCTGTGTTGATATATTACATGTGTATATGTCCCTGCACTGCCAGGGCTTGGCACAAGCATGCAAGAAGAGCGGTCCCAAAGCTCCACAGGGAAGTGTTGAAGGCTGAGGTGGTGTGAGAGTTGGTTTGCGAGCAGGCGTGATATGATGAGGTGAGGCTGGTGGTTTGTTGTTACTAACTTGTGTGAACAGAAGGTGGAGGAGGAAGGCAGCCATGGAGTGGACAGGGATGTGTTGGTGGGACTTGTATTTGGATGAGGACTTGGAGAAGCGAGTGGCAAGCTTCTGCCAGCTACCCGCTCTCCTTATCATGTTCGGAATTGACACCATCTAGTTTCTTGGGAAAAGAGAGGGGATTTGGAAGCTGCATAGAAATGAGGCAAGTTGAACTACTAATGAGATGTATACATGGGAATGATTTAATCGCTGCCCAATAGCAAGATTATAAACTCTCTGTTCGAACTTTAAAACCAGAAATTTGTTTCTCAGTGTGAGATTCTGATTTTCTATATAGTAGATAATAAGGAAATTGCAGATGAATTGAACAACTACTTTGCTTCTGTCTTCACTGCAGAGGAAACAAGAACCATTCCAGTAGTAGCTGTAAATCAGGAGATGGAAAGGAGGGGGGAGCTTTGTGAAATTATAATCATGAGAGAAATGATACTGAGCAAACTGACGGAGCGGCAGGTGACAAATCTTGGGTCCAGACTGACTTCATCCTAAGGTTTTAAAAGACAGTGCTAATGTGGTAAAAGATATATTGAGTGTTAATTTTCCAAAATTCCCTTGATCCAAGGAAGGTTCCATTCGTTTGAAAAGTAGAAAAGCTAACTCCTCGATTCAAGAAGGGAGAGAGGTAGAAAACAGGAAACTGTTGGCTAGTTAGCTTGACCTCTGTCATAAGGAAGATACTGGAATTGATCATTAAAGAGACTTTTGCTGCACACCTGGGAAAGCGTAAGATAACCAGGAAGAGTCAGCATGGCTTTCTAAGGGGAAGCTCTTGTTTAACCGATTTATTAGACCTCTTAGAAGGAGTCACATGCTGTAGTTTATGGGAAGCTGGTGGGCATCTTATACTTGGACTTCCAGATGGTATTTGATAAAGTGTCCAATCAAAGGCTATTGCACAGAATAGGAGCTGGTATGGGGGAGGGGTGAATGTATTAATTAGCATGGGTAGAAGATTGGCTGGCTGTCAGAAAACCAAGCATATGCATAAATGAATCTTTGTCTGATTGGCAACATGGGTAGATAGGTAGGAAAGAATGTTGTGAAGAAGACAGAAGGAATTTACAGAGGAATATAGAATTATAGAATCATAGAATCCTTCCAGTGCAGAAAGAGGCCATTCTGCCCATCGAGTCGTGGACTGGTTGGACTGAAGGGTCTGTTTCCGTGCTGTATGACTCTTCGACTATGAGTCTGCATCGACCCCCAGAGCAACCCACCCAGACCCAGCACCCCCATCCTATCCTTGCAACTTGGTCTATAGTTATACATGGCATTGGTGAGACCATTTCTCGAAGCCTGTGTGCAGTTTTGGTGGCCTTATTTAAGGAAGAATATTTATTTTGTCAGAAGTGTTCCAAAGGAGTTTTCCTAGACTGATACCTGGAATGAGTGGGTTGTCTTAAGAGAAAAGATTCGACAAGCTAGGCTTGTTTCCACGCGAGTTTAGAACAGGGAGGGTGACTTTTTTGAATTGTGTAAGATTCTGAACGCTCTCGACAAGATAATGTAGAAAAGATGTTTCCAATTGTGGATCCATCCAACACCAGGGGAGTGCTGTTTTAAAATTAGGCGTGGCCCCTTTAGAACAGAAATGAGAACAGACAGGGTCTTGTGACTTTGAAACTCTCTGCCTCAAGGGGTGGTGGAAGTGAGGGTTTTGAATATTTTTAAGACACCAATAGATAAGCCTGTTGTTAGGCAGGGAAGTCAAAGGTTAATCAGGGGTAGATGGGAATGTGGAATTCAGAACATAAACAGATCAGCCTTGATCTTGTTGCATGATGGAATGGGTTGATGGGCAGAATAGTCTCCTTTTGCTCCTATTTCGAATGTTGTCACAGTTGTGAAATATTAATGATTGTCACTGTTCTGCCCACTCCCTGCAAACCCAAGTGGTCAAATAGAATTTAGTTGTACATTTGCAAAATATCACAGACTGAAATATGTTTGAAGGATAGCTGCCTGGGTTTGAAATAACTGATGAATTCTGGTTTGGTTTGTGATTTCATTTTACACCTTGGATTTTGTAACTTTCAAAAGTTTGTGTTTAGTCTAATGCGCATTGCCGTGCTCATAGAGAACGGTCACCGAGTGAATTGGAGTAAAATATTCAGCTCTGAGTTTATCATGCTTACACAAATTGTCCAGAGACCCTTTATTGTGGAACCAGTGATGTGCCTTGAGTGTTCAGCGGCTCACTATTTGGACATGATTCCTCCTGCTGTGTCTCGATGAAAAATGTATAACAGTACAACTAGATATACATAAGTAGTGTGTAAAACAATAGATGTCTCATTTGAAACAGTGTGAAAGAACAAGAAAATAAGCTGCACATTCTGATTGATCAGTGCAGTGCCGTTTTTTTATTGTTCAATTCTTTGCTAGGCTGCACCATTTTGTATTGCTTGTCGAGTTCAGTTGTAACAGCCTGAGTTGATTTTTGTTTCTGTACCCCAGGTTATGCTAGCTGCTTCTTACTGGTCCCTGCTGGCACCAGCGATTGAGATGGCAGAGTCCTCTGGGACCTATGGAACGTTTTCCTTCCTTCCAGTGGGAGCGGGCTTCACACTTGGAGCGGCATTTGTTTACTTGGCTGACCTATTGCTGCCCTCGCTGGTGAGTGTGTGGAAATTCAAGACAACCTGAATCCATGGGGCTTCTTACCATTGAAGCCTCTCTCTGCTGGCACGTTTAACATATGCAGTAGGGAAAGAAAAAGGGAAAATATGGGAAAGCTAAAAAAAAAAAACAAACTGGATTAGACTGAAAGTGTTGATTTATTTTACCTCACTCGATTTTTCTGAAATGCATACAAGGTAAACCAAAAAAAAATTGAAATAACTATTCTTGGAAGATTTATACTACTACCATGAAAGAATATATCCATGTATTTTTACTGGCTCAACGTTTGTTTGTGGTTTTTCACTTAACTGAGGACATTCTCAGGAGACGGGCTGAGTCACAGTATGAAAATAGTTGCGCTCTCCAGGCAGCCTCATCATCTTCTGTCTTAGCACAGAGCCTGTGAAGATGTGAGCTTCCTTGTCACAAAAATATATTACCCCAGGATGTAGATCAGAGGAAGCAGACATGCTTATGGTTGAATACCAAACATACTTATGCAGGTAAGATAGTAAGGGGCCATAAAGCAGGTGAAAGATGTGCAGGATTCCAAGGGTATGTAGGGGAACAGTATTTATTTAACTGTATTCCCTTCCCTTGTTTTATGTGCATTGGGAATGTCTAATTTGAAACTTTAACTTCATAACATCTCAATCCACAATCTGTCCTGATGAAGCATGAATGACAGTTGCTTATTTGTGGAGCGCTGGGCAGCTGAGAATTAGGTGCTTGATCGCAGGTCTCCATTTGATGATCTCGCCATACAAGCCTCCTATGTTTTCTCAATTCTATAGTGCAGCCATGCAAGCTGCTTATTATTGTGTAATTGAGTTGAGGCAGTCACTTCCTGTCAGATGCTGGTTATAATTTTTATTTATAATCTCTTGAATGATGGAGTAGGCTTGAGCTAAATTGTTCACGTACCTTGTACATTTCTAGATTCGAGAGCTAGGGGGAATAGTCTAGAAATTAGGGCCAGATTGTCCAGGAGAGATGTTAGGAAGCACTTCTACACTCTGAGCATAGAGGTTTGGAGCTGTCTTCCACAAATGGCAGTTGATGCTTGAATCAATTGTAATGATAAATCTGAGATAGACAATTTTTTTATTAAGTAAAGCTATTAAGGGCTGTGGGCTGAAGGCAGGTATAATAGAGTTGGATCACAGATCAGGGGTGGCGCAGTGGTTCAGTGGTTAGCACTGCTGCCTCACAGCACCAGGATTCTGGGTTTGATTCCTGCCCTGGGCAACTGCCTGTGTGGAGTTTGCATTTTCTCCCCGTGTCTGTGTGAGTTATGTTCGGGTGCCCCTGTTTCCTCCCACAGTCCAAAGATGTGCAGGTTAGGTGGATTGACCATGCTAAATTGCCCATAATGTCCAGGGATGTGCAGGCTGGGTGTATTAGCCATTTGGAAATATAGGGTAGGGAGATAGGGTGGGATGCTCTTCAGAGGGTCGGTGTGGAGTCGATGGGCCGAACGACCTGCTTCCACACTGTAGGGGTTCTATGAGCCATGATCTTCTTGAAGGGCAGAACAGGCTGAAGGGGCTGAATGGCCTCTTCCTGTTCCTACGGCCAACAGAAAAATGTTTCAGAGAGGAAATGGAGGTGGCTGGTCACAGTTTGCTAATCTTGGAGGCTCTGCAGGCGGTGCCATTTCTCCATTGTCATCAGAGTAGTTAGCAAGGTTTTGCCTGCAACAGTTGCCGATTGGATACCAGCAAAAATGCAACATTTATTACAAACTCACTCTGTACGTGTTCACAATCTCTGGGTAGGTCTCCAGTCAAGAAATGAAGTGAGATAGTGACACTGAGCAATCTTGTCAGCTGACTGTTAGCCTGCATGAAATGATTGAGCAAGAACACAGAAGCTTGGTTGATTTAAGAATAGGATGTTGAAGTACATCATAATGTTCAGTTTGAACTGAGAAAAGTGATGATCAGCAGGTCTGGCAGCATTTATGGAGAGAGAAGCAGAGTTAATGTTTCAAGTCCAATATGACTCTTCTTCAGAAGCCGGCATTCCTCCTCACTTGTCTTAGCTTATTTTCTTAAAACTTGAGCCTTGTCTTTACTGCCTCTGAGTTTAATGCTTATTATGTTCTACTGTCTAATCTCCCATCTTCCACCTTAATCAAAATCGAACTCATCCAAAATCTGCTGCTTTTATCTAAGTCCCCCCTTACTTATCACTTGTGGTCTCACTGATTTACTTTTGGCACTTGCTCCAGCGCCTCTATAAAAGTGTCTCTGTGTCAAATTTTGCTTTGGAGCAGAGTCATAGAGGTCTCCAACACAGTAAAAAGGTACTTTGTCCTGTCGAATCCGCGCCAATGAGAAACAATCACCTCAATATTCTAACCCTATTTCCAACACATGGCCCATAGCCTTGTTTGCCTTGGTATCACAAATGTACATTTAAGTACTTCTTAAATGTTATGACGAATTCTTCCTCTACTACCCTTATAGGCAGTGGGTTCCAGATTCCCACCACCTTCCGACTGAAAAACATTTTCCTCACATCTCCTCTTAAACCTTCTGCCCCTTAGCTTAAATCTATGCTCCCTGGTCAAGTATCCCTCCAGCAAGGGAAAAGTTTCTTCCTGTCTTCCCTATCTCTACATCCATAATTTTATACATCTGAATCAAGTTCCCTCTCAATCTCCTTTGCTGTGAGGAAAACAACCCTAGCCTGTCCAATATCTCTTCATGACTGAAGCTGTCCAGCCCCGGTGACATCCTGGTAAATCTCAATGTAAGAGCAAATTACTGCAGATGCTGGAATCTGTACTGAAAATGACAAATGCTGGAGACCACAGCAGGTCAGACAGCACCATGGAGAGGGAGCAAGCTAGTGTTTCGAGTCTAGATGACTATTTATCAGAGCTGATGAAGAGTCATCCAGACTTGAAACGTTAGCTTGCTCCCTGTCCATGGATACTGTCTGACCCACTGTGATCTCCAGCATTTGTTGTTTTCAGTCCTGGAAAACCAAATCCAGTGCAATCACATCCCATTGTGCAAAACTTTATCTGTTGGCCTAACCAACATTTTATATAGTTCCAGCATAACCTCTCTGCCCTCAAACTCTATGCCTTGACTAACAAAGGCAAGTATCATGTATGCCTTCTTAATCACTTTATGCACCTGTCCTGATACTTTAAGGACCGGTGAACATGCACACCAAGGTCCCTCTGATCCTCAGTGCTTCCCAGGGTCTTACCCCTCATTATGTATTCCCTTGCTTTGTTTGTCCTGCCCAACTGCATCACCTCATATTTATCCAGATTGAACTCCATTTGCCACTTATCAGCCCACCTATATCCTCCTGTAATCTAAGGCTATCCTGGTCAGTTTTTACCACCCCACCAATTTTCGTATCATCTGCAAACTTACTGATAAACCCTCCTACATTCAAATCTAAATCATTTATACAAACCACAAACAGCAAGGGCCACAACACTGACCCCTGTGGGATCCCACTGGACCCAGCCTTCCATTCAGGAAAACACCCCTCAACCATCACCCTCAGCTTCCTCATAGTTCTGAGGAAGGGTCACCAGACCCGAAACGTTAACTCTGTTTTCTCCTCCACAGATGCTGCCAGACCTGCTGAGCTTTTCCAGTAACTTTGTTTTTGTTCCTGATTTACAGCATCCGCAGTTCTTTTGGTTTTTACCCTCTGCTTCCTGTCACTCACCCAATTGTGGATTCAGTTTGTCAAATTTCCTTGGATCCCATGGGCTCTTACTTTTGTTATTTGTCTCCCATGTGGAACCTTATCAAAAGCCTTGCTGAAGTTTAAGTAGACTACATGGCCCTCAACACACATCTGATCACCACTTAGAAAAATTCAGTCAAGTCGGTTAGATATGACCTCCCTTAACAAAACCATATTCTTGATTAATCCCTGTCTCTCCAAATGTCCTGCAGAATTTCTTCCAATTGCTTCCTCACCTAACTGACTGACCCTGTAATTCCCTGGTTTACCCCTTCTCCCTTCTTGAAAGATTGGTCGTGACATTGATCTTTGATAGAGTCTGAAAAAAAATTCAAGTACAGTACCACATCGGCTGCCCTCTAGTTCTGTGGTCCTTATCATGTGGCTAGAGAGGATTGTAAGTTGACCTTCTCCCTGATTACTATATCCATGTTGTCCCTCCCATAAGTGAACACTGACCAAAAGTATTACTTTATAACCCTACCTATGTCCTCTGGCTCCAAGTGCAAATTATTGCTGTGGTCCTTAAAGGGTCCTACTCTTCTCTTTGTTATCTTTTTACCCACAATGTACCCTGTAAAACAACTTGGGGTTTTCCTTTATTTTTCCTGCCAGTATCCTTTCATGTCCCCTTTTAGCTCTCCTGATCTGCTTTCTAAGTTCCCTCTTGCACATAATGTACATTTCTCGGACTTATGCTATTTTGAGCCCGCAGTATCTGCCGTAAGCCCATGTTTTTCTCTTAATGCTATATATTCCTCGTTATCTGCTATTCACAGGATTTGATGATCCCACTTTTATTCTTTCTTGGAACATGCTGCCTCGTCTTCTCCCTATTTCCTTCTTGAATGCATCCCACTCTTCTGAACAGATTTACCTGAAAGTATCCTTCCAGTCCCCTCTAGCCAAACCACATCTGATCTTGTTAAAATCGGCCTTCTCCCAGTTGAGAACTTTGATTACAGGCCTATCCTTATCCTTTTCCATAACAATCTTAAATCTGTGGAGTAACGATTACTGTCTGCAAAATGCTCCCACTGATAATTTAGCCACTCGCCCAACTTCATTATTTAAAATAAAGTCTAGGACCGCCCCTCTCTTATAGAACCATCTATACAAAGAGTTGAAAACCTCTCTTGGATGTGTTTTAAGAATTCTGCGCCTTCTAAACCTTTCACACTATGATCTTGTTGAAGAAGTTGAAATCCCCTACTATCACTACTGTATTACTTTTACACTTCTCTGACATTTGCCTACACATCTGCTCCTCTATTTCTCTTGGACAGTTAGGGGCCCTATAGTACGCTCCCAGCAATGTAATTGCTCCTTTTTGGTTTTTAAGTTCTACTCGTATGACTTCATTGGAGGAACCTTCTAAGATGTCACCCGTCCTTACTTCTGTAATAGATTCCCTGATCAAAATTACGACACTGCTTCCTCTTTTACCTCCTTCCCTGTCTTGGCTGAACGCTCTGTTTCCTGAAATATTGAGGTGCCAATCCTGCCCCTCTCTCAAACATGTATCAGTGACGGCAATGATATTAATTTGCACCCTCAAAGTATCTGAATGGCTCTGTGGATCTAAGTTGCTGCAGAAAGGATTTCAGCTTTGCATCAGCAACAAGTCTTTAGGGTGTAAAATTGAGTGCCGACGTCTGAGCTGCCTCTGAGGGCCAGGAGAGTACGAATTCCTGTTACAAGGTGTAGAAGACTGTGGAATCCACTGTGTGAGCCAGTAAGCTGGAGCTGGTGGGTCTTCCAGCAAATAGTCTTATTTTATAGCAAAAAAAGGTCTCCTTTCTCAGCAAACAGACTTCATGAAAACAACACGCTAGAGCAAATTGCCCACAGATTGTGTGTACAAAGTGTCGCTACATGCTAGAGGTAGCCAATCATACGACCGAAAGCGCAGCAAATTTTCAAAATAACAATGATGTTTCTCCAAAAAAATGCAGCAAGGAGAGGCTAGATACATATTGCGAATTTTGTATTAAATCTTTTGCAGACATGACAGCAATACTGGCTCAATGTGTGATTGCTGATGGAATTAACCAATCCTTCCATTCAGGGAGCAGTGGTCTAACTACGTGCTGTCTGTTTTGGCTGTGTGCATTAAGCCCTGTCTCTGGATCTGTTCTGCATTTGTATTATAATGAAAGCATTGATATAAAGAGAAGCTGCTTTGCGCCAAAATTATCATGACAGCAAAATGCTCCTTTCATGAAGAACCAAAAGCTGACAAAACATTCAAGTCACTCAGCTACTTGACAAAAGTAATGTTTTGCAGTATAATGAGCTTAATAATTAAAAGGAGCTTTTTCTTTTAATAATTCTTTTGTTTTTGCACTGAATAGTCGAGGGTTAGCATTTTTCGACAAACAGGCTAGCAGTCCACGCTACATTTGATTTGAATGCAACGAGGTAAAATCCTGAAGATTGCAATCACGTGGAGTGTTCATTGGTGTTTCCTTTTGTAATATTTTATTTATTTATAGAATCCCTACAGTATGGAAACAGGCCCTTTGACCCAACAAGTCCACACTGATCCTTGGAACATCCCAACCTAACCAATCCCCCTAATCTACACATCCCTGAACACTACGGGCAATTTAGCATGGCCAATCAACCTAACCCGCACATCTTTGGACTGTGGGAGGAAACCGGAGCACCTGGAGGAAACCCACGCAGACACGGGGAGAATGTGCAAACTCCACACGGACAGTCGCCCGAGGGTGGAATTGAACCCAGGTCCCTGGTGCTGTGAGGCTGCAGTGCTAACCACTGAGCCACTGTGCCGCGATGCTGTATACCTGTTGAGATTCATTTCTGAGTATTAATTTATTACTCACATTGATAAACCGAGTGCACAGGATCAGATTTTGTTGGGATTTCCTTCAGATATCTGGTGAGAAAATGAAACCAGAACTAGAAATTGGGCTCATTTCTTGCGAGTTCCCAAGTAGCTTGGAGCGCCCATTAGTGAAAGCTTTGGTGAAACCTCCGTTGGGCACGAGATGCCCAAACAGGAGGATCCCTTTCAGGCTGCAGAAAGACAGCTTGGTTTTACCTGCTGGCTTCTCTAACTGGCATAGACACCACCAGTGACTGGCAACATTACTCAGGGCAGGGGGGAAGAGATTAAGGGCCTCAATTTGCCCAAATGTGGACAGGCCTGGCAGGTGTGTTGATAATGGGTACTGCTGCCTTGGCACCTGATTGTTTACAGTAACCCAACAACCCTGCTCCCATGGGTGGTATTTGTGGGGTGGATGGCTGTAACATTCTACTGCTAAAATCTGAAAGATGTATTTTTTAAAATTCATCCATGGGATGTGGGCATTGCTGGCTGAATCAGCATTTATTGCCCATCCCTAATAGCCCAGAGGGCAGTGTAGTGTTTGTAACAAGATCAGCCAGGTGGACCTCATAGAATATGAGTTTCCTGATTGGCGCTGTCAATCTGGTCTGGCAGAAAGTGCAGTCCAAACTTTGAAGGCAGGCTTAAAGAAACAGCCTACAGCTTCACTAGAAACCAAACTGTCCTGGTTCCTATTTGATTATAGGACCACCCTTCACGCAACTACAGGGAAAGCTCCAGCACAGTTGCTAATGGGGACAGGACTCCGCATCAGGTTAAATCTGATCCTCCTGGACCTGGGACTGGGGTTGAAATGGCATCAGGAACGCCAGTGCCAGACACAAGACTCTGCAAAGTGAGAGAGATAGTTTACTTCAGGGATGAAGTTTGATGTTGGAACCACAGGAATGGCCCTGCATGGGTAAGAGGTATGGTCAGCACGAGGTCAGCTCCAAGTTCAGCAAGATGCAATGGCCCTGAACTCGTGGACCATATAAAGACTGCAAACTCACAAATGGTGTGGGAGCAAAAAGTGCCTGGATCCCTGACAGCCTTTCCAACTGAACCGGAACTGATGGGTGCTCCCACTTCATCAAGTGTTGAAGATAGCTCGGAATCTGAGATGGACACGGTGGGTGTCACTGCCTCGATGCCTTTGCTGCCTGAAGAAGAGAATGTGTTTCTTCCGAGAAGCTCCGGGTGCAACAGGCAAGCTGCTGTGTGTTGGGGGAATCTGACCCGGTGCTAAAACGTCCCGAGAGGAGCTACAAAAAAAAGAACTGGCCTGTGTCCTCAGACTGAGAGGGGGAAGAGTGCAGTGATTGTAACGAGGTCAGCCGTGTAGGCCTCAGGACAGGAGTTCCCTGATTGGGGATGTTAATCTGGTCCAATCAGGGAGCCCTGGCTGACAGATAAGAACAGGAGTGTCAGACATCCTGTTCACTCTGAGACCAGGCTCTGAAGTAGCTGGATCAGTGTCAAGGATTCTCCACGTGTAAATAAAGGGTGACTTGGTGACAGAATACTGGCCTCTGTGAAGTTATTTCAGGAAGTTTTGAGTCAAACACATTGCTGTGAGTCTGAAGTCCCATGTAAGCCAGACCAAGTATGGATAGCAGTTATTTTACCGAAAGGACATTAGTGAACAAGATGGATTTTTCCAACAATCAACAATGGCTTCATAGTCATCATTTGACTCTGAATTCCACATTTTCTTTTAGTGGTTTCATATTCCACCATCTGCCATGGCTGTATTTGAATTCAGGTCCCCAGAATATTACCTGGGTCAATGCATTAATATTTTAGCAATAATACCACTAGTCCATTGCCCCCCCTGAACAGGGGGAACATCTAAATGGAAATACTGTAAGTTCAGGATGAAGGCCAGAGGTTTGTTTTTCTTCCTGTTTGTAAGTATTTTTATATGGCATGGCCATTTAAGCACCCAGCTTGTTGAAAGGAAGCTAAGCAACTTTTACTTTGGTTTGGCTTTTTTTATTTTGGTCATCAAGAGATGGCAGAGTCTCAATTTGGCTTGGACTTATTCAACATTTGGCAGGTACTTGGATGTACACGATTTGTAAAGGTCATCAATTTTTGAAGAGCTGGAGTTAAAATTGCTGGAAGTGCAACATCAAACAAACCTTTGAAAGTTGCACTATTTTCTCACATCTTAAAGTACTTTTGCTTTCTGATCCTTGTTTATGACGTAGTGCTTTTCCTGCAGTCACATCACATGTTAATGATGTCACCCTGGTGGTGGTCTCATTGCAGGTCGGCTCAGCATCCATATCTTTTATCCTCTCTCGTTCACCTCTCCCTCGGGAAAATTTACTTCTTTCAATAAACCTTACTTAAATTGCCACTTCCTCCTCTCTCTACCCAATTCCCACTTTCAACCAAATTCACAGACTTAATGGCTTGGCCTTTGTTTCAGTCGGGTGAAATCTTCCTCTCACTGACTGTGTTCCTTACATACTCTGCAGAGATACTCAACTGTTTCTGGCCCACCTCAGCACATAAGTTCTGGTTTGGAAGGCCCATGAATGGCCTTTTCAACTCAACATCAATTAAGACTCTAAAGTGGTCAATCAAAGGCCTCAACTCACTGCCAGCTCAATTCCATGGCTCCCTGGCAGGCATGATAAGTGGCTCATTTTCCAACTGGGGTAAGTGCAGTGTGTGCTTGGGTCAAACACCTCATACAGTCATAGAGCTGTACAGCCCGGAAACAGACCCTTCTGTCCCACTCCTCCATGTCAACCAGGTATCCTAAATTAATCTAATCCCATTTGCCAGCACTTGCTCCATTTCCCTCTAAAACCTTCCTATTTATACACCCCTTGAGATACCTTTTAAATGTTGTAACTGTACCAGCCTCCACCACTTCCTCTGGCAGCTCATTCCATACACGTACTGCCCTCTGCATGAAAATGTTGCCCCTTAGGTCCCTTTTATATCTTTTCCCTCTCACCTTAAACCAATGCCCTCTAGTTTAGGGCTCCCCCAGCCCAGGGAAAAGACCTTGACGATTCACCCTATTCATGCCCTACATGATATTATAAATCTCTTTGAAGTCACGCCTCAGCCTCCGATGCCAAAGAAAATAGCCCCAGCCGATTCAGCCTCTCCCTCAAACGCTCTATCCCTGGCACGTCCTTGCAAATATTTCCTGAACCCTTTCAAGTTTCACGACATCTTTCCTACAGCAGGGAGACCAGAATTGAATGCAGTATTCCAAAAATGTCCTGTGCAGTCGCAACATGATCTCCCAAATCCTATACTCAATGCACTGACCAATAAGGGCAAGCGAACCATTCGCCTTCTTCAGTACCCTGTCTAACTGTGACTTCTCTTTCAAGGAACTATGAACCTGGGCATGGAAAGACAGAAAATAAAAAGCAGAACGATAAGATGGAAAACATATGCTGCAATTTGAGCTTGAAGAATGAAGGCAGTGGATGAGGTGCCAATCCAATTGACTGCTTTGTTTTGGCTGGCATTTAGTTTCTTGAGTGTTGTTGGAGGTGCACTAATTCAGACAAATGGGGAATGTTTCATCACATTCCTGAATTTCTGCCATTGAATGTCAAGGAAAGATGCTTAGATTCTGCCTTGTTGTGGTTGCATGAGTTGTTTGCTGATCAGCTAAATATATTTGAAGTTAATGTGAATGGGTGAAATATTTAATAGATCTGGGACAAACTTTAATGGAATGTGACTTTATCCAGATTTCATGCAACTCGGTTTAATGTCAGAAAGCGCCGAATGACGTGGATAGTTCCTTCAATTATAAGTAATTAAAATGGCCTCTAACAGTCACCTTGGGTTGCAGCCAGATGCGTATGGTCACCAAAGGATTTTCATTGTTTAACAACTGGTGTAAAAGAGAATGCTAAACATTTAGTGATGCTTAGAAAACGTATGAAGCAACATCAATGCTTTCCTCTGCAACTAAGACACGTTGCAATGTGGAAACAGTATTCACTTGGTGTTTGTTGAGCATAATTTAACTGTTTGACTGATAGATGAACGTGCATTTTCCTGTGGTTCCTTTCGGAAGATATGTATTGCTAGCATGTTTTAAGTGGTAATTATCTTATCTAGTGGGCCATGGAAATTCTTTCTTGTGTCTGGTTGAGAAGATGGATGATGACACCCAGGCAATGTAAATAAGACCAGCTAGCTGAGGGAGAGGGTTTGTCTCTTAGTTCTGTCAGCCATTATAAACATAAAGAGGGAAAGGTCAGTTGCAAGACATTTTGAAACTGGGAGTATTGCGAAGTACAGAATGTTTCGTACTGGCCATAAACCAACAAGATGTCTGATTTGTAATCTGTGTTTGGAATTATTTGAGTAACTGAATTACCTTTGACCTCTGCTAGCTACTGGATGTGAAATAAAAGGCATTATGGAAAAGTCTGCTATTTGGTATTCCGCAAGTACAGTTCATTTGTAAAGCTTCTAAAACGGTGACCATTAAACCAGGCAGATTGCAAATACATGCACCACTCTTAATTGTAAGGGATTCTGCATAATTTTACGTGTACCAGTTTGTTACTAGTGCCTGCCAATGCTAAGAACTTTGTTGCAGCTTCCTGAATTGCCTGTATGAAGCTGCCCTTTTTAAGGAGGCAGCAGACAGAAGTTAGGCTGTTATAAAGGAAAGAAAATAAAGACTTGCATTTAAAAATGTGATGAAAGGTGTATGTGCTGTTTTACTTTTGGAATTAGATGATTTGAAAATAAAGGCAAATGGATTTTGGTTAGCCCTTTTGAAAGATCAGAGTTAATGTGGAACATTGACCTAAATACATCCGATTTAAGAAAACATCTGACAGTGCCTGAGAGAATGTCTGTGGTGTTAAAGGATAAACTGTTTATACTATTGGGTTTATGACAGGCAGAGTACACTATTGAGGCAATTATTTTAGTTTTAGCTTCAGAACTAACATTTGAAGTTTTAGTTCAGAAGAACCCAGACTCTCCAAACAGGAGAATGAAGTCCGTCCAGGAAAACCAGTCCCTTCAGCAGAACTAGTTGCTTGTCTACGTAGCTTCCAAGTCAGGAGAGTTTGGACAGCAATCTTCAAGTTGTTAGACCTGAAAATATCTCGGCCATCAGAACTGGGAAAGATCCATGTCAGTAGACTCTGAAAGGATTCGTAGAGCAAAAGTCTTAAAAGTCCAAGGGAAAGAAACTGGGTAATATCAGTCATGTAAAGATTTTAGTCAAACTGGAATTGGAGTAATATTTCTTTGGGATTGAGTTTCTGTAGTGAATGATGTTGGGAAACAGTTTGTTTTCATTTTTGTGTTAATAATTTTTGTCTTCTATATGTGGCTTTATTTGTTTGTTTCTTCTTCTGTGTCATGACTTGTGTTTGTTTGTGTTCTGCAGCCTAATGTGGAATGTGTTTCAGTGATTAACTAACTGCAAAGAATTAAACATTTGACCTAATAAACCACTATTTTGGGTTTGGACTTGTCCCAGCTGTCAGTAATAGAGGACTATAACTGTAGTAATCTTCATGACTACCAGATGTTCTAAAGCACTTTAAAGTCAATCAATTGCTTTTGAAGTGTGGTCATTGTTTACATGTTAGTAAAACAGTGGCCACTTTGCATACAGTAAACTCTCAGAAACAGCCATCTAGTAATGACAGTATAATGTGTTTGTGTGATGGGTCTGGTTAGACCCCATTTGGAGTACTGTGAGCAGATCTGCGCACCATACCTTAGGAAGGATAAATTACTTGGAGGAAGTACATGGGAGGTTTATATGAATTATACCTAGACTTCAGGGTTAAGTTTTGAGGAGAGATTATACAAATTAGACCTGTTTTTGTCTTGAATTTAAAAGGCTAAGGGGTGATCTGATTGAAGTCTTCAAAATGTTAACAGGAAAAGACAGAAGACGAAGATAAAATATTTCCGCTAGTTGGGGACTACAGTGCATATATTACAAATTAGCGCCAGACCATTCAGGACAGATATTTCGAAGCAGTTCTTCGCACAAGTAGTGGCAGAGTTTTGGAACTATTTTCCACAAATGACTGTTGATCTAGACCAGTTGTTAGTATTAAATCGGAGATGGATAAATTTTTGTTAAGCAAAGGTATTAAGGGACATGGTCTAAAGGCAGGTATATGGAGTTAGGCCACTGATTAGCCATGATCTCCCTGAATGGTGGGACAAGCTCAAGGTGCTGAAAGGCCTACTCCTGTTCCTATGATTATGAGATAAATATTGGCCAGGGCCTTGGGGATAACATCCTTTCTTAAAATGGTGCGGTGGGTTTTTACCTCTACCTGAGACAGCAGATGAGATCAAGATTTAACATCTTATTGGAAAGATGGCAGCTCCTTCTCTCCTGCATTGTACTGAACGTCAGCCTTAATTTTGGTGCTCGAGTCGAGACGTGGGACGTGACTCCAAACTTTCTGACTGATAGGTGAGGGTGCTCCCAACTGAGCCAATGTTGCTCTTCAATATTTGCCTTTAAAATGGGGAAGCAATTTAAATGCTTGATTTGTGCCACATGCAAGTGTGGTTAGTTCTACGTTATCATTCATCAGAGTGAGCTTCGTGCCTTCACACTCTGACTCCTGTATGAAGATATACTGTACAAACACAGTATATCTCACAGTTATAATGAACCACTCCTGGTTTGTCAAAATGAAAAACCACTTCTGGGTTAGGAGTCAAACCATCACTCATTTTATACTTTGTTATTACTATGATATCTGATTTGAAACTGTGGCAAGGAAGTCCCTTAACCTCAGTACGTGTTCCCTCAGTGCATTCCTTGAATGTTCAGAATTTAAATATATGGTAACCTAACCCTTCAGATTTGTTAATCAAATACTAGACTGAATTCAGATAGGAAACACCTTGTCTGTTTGGATGATTGACCTGCTTTCAGTGTTACAAATGCCTGTGAAATTAACACTGTGGAACCTTAGGGTCTGTCGATTTCTTTGCATCAGCAAGGTGCTTTTGAAGTGTAGTGACGATTGTAATGTTAGGGGAATACTGTGTTATAAAGATGAAATGGTTAGCTTAATCGAACTATATACAATAGATACAAATATGACTTGTCAAGACTTAGAATGCCAATTGCTCCATAGCCATATTTGTGTATGGTTGATTGACTTTAATAGACGATTGACAAATCATCCACGGAGAATCGCAGAATGAGAATGAGAATCTTTCATGACTGAACAATTAAACTGCATTTGAATGATTATACATTATGACCCAGTAGGCTTCCAATGCTGAATGAGATGCTGAACATGAGGTCACGAGTTGAAGCCCCACTCTTGGGACCAGAAAAATAGGTTAGGCAGGCTGGTATTTATCACTGAACACTGAGGGATTGCTGCAGTGTCAGAGGTACCATTTTTCAGGTGATAGCTTTAATTCAGGCCATGTCTGACCCTTCTATTGGAACTAAAAGCAATGTTTGAAAAAAATATTCTGGCCAACAGTTAACCAGCAACCAGTACTTGATATAGGTGATCTGTTTCTTTAAATCTCTTGACATTTCTGTGTACAAATGGTTATTGTATTTTGAACATTATGACATGAATTAAATACTCTTGAAGTATAGTCAGCTGTAAAACACACTGGGATGTCCTGAGTTCCTGGAAGGAGTTTTTTAAACACAAGCTTCTGTTGAGGTAGGTTCAGAAGAGATGGTCTATAATTTGCACCATGCCTAATGGAAAGCAAAATTGCTGCTCATGAAACATGCACTTCCCATCCAGTGTAAAAGAATAATTGGAAATGTAGTTGTGTGGGAATGAGCAACCATAACATGATAGAATTCTTCAGCAAGATGGAGAGTGACGTAGTTAATTGTATAGCTGGGGTCCTGAATCTAAACAAAGAAAACTACCATTGGTATGAGGTATGAGTTTGCTGCGATAGATTGGGGAATGTTACTTAAAAGGATGACAGTGGAAATAGAATGGCAAACATTCAAAGTGGGTGAACTGCAACAATTGTTCATTTCCGTCTGGCACCGAAGTAAAACATGAAAGGTGGCCAAACTATTGGCCAGATAAAACAACAGAACTGAGGAGTGGGAACAACTTAGAATTCAAAGGACAGGATGACATTGGGATTGATTAAAAGGGAAAAAATAGAATACGAGAGTAAGCCTGTGCGAAATATAAAAACTGACGTTGAAAATTTCTGTACATATGCAAAGAGAAAAGGATTGGTGAAGACAAATTTAGGTCCCTTATAGTCAGAAACAGGGAAAGTTATAATGCGAAGCGAAGAAGTACATTCTTTGGTTTTGTGTTCACAAAGGAGGACAACAACATACCAGAAACGTTGAGCAGCACAGGGTTTAGTGAGAGGGAAGTACTGAAGGAAATTAGTATTAGTAAGGAAATGATGTTAGGGAAATTGATGTGATTGAAGGCCATTAAATTCCTGGGTCCTGATAATTTACATCCCAGAGTACTTGAGGAAGTGGCTCTGGACATAGTGGATGTTGGTGGTCATCTTTAGAGATTCTGCATACTCTGGAGCAGTTCCAACAGATTGGAGAGTAGCTAATGTAACCCATCTGTTTAAGAAGGGAGGCAAGAGGAATCGGGAGTTGTAGACCAGTCAGCCTGATGATGTTAATTAAATTTAAAAAGTTGTAGTATTGTTGCTGTCCAAAGTCTTGTATACTCTTTGTGTGCACATATATTTGTGTGCTCATAAATGCCACCATGAACACTTACATGTGTGCAGGCGCACACACTTGCCTCTCTTCTTTCTCTATAGGAATTAAAGACATAGAAACAAAGTTCCCCAGCTTGTGCAGCATTTTTTGCCATTCCACGTTGTATTTCCACAACATTTTTCTGAGCAATTGTTTCCTGAAACTGTTCAGTTTTTCTCTTCTCCAAATTAATTTAGCTCTTTGTCTGAATTATATATTCCTGGAAAATTCCATAAAACAATATAGGACAAGGAACGTTGCAGTTTAATTTATTGCAGTTACTGAGTGGGGCGTATTGCATCAAGAGCTTTTTCCTTTCTTCTGCATTGTAAAACTGAATTGGACAGCTCTTAACTGTTGTTAGATTTTAAATAAAAATAGTAAATTGTTTTTTCCAGGCAATGGGAGTCAAATGATTTTCATACAACAGATAACACAGAACAAATGGAACAAATCCATCTTCATAAAACAATTTGGTCAGGGTGCACATATCAAAAAAAGTGCATGCTACAATGTTATATTGAAGACAATAGAGTAATCATGGATGTGTAGGAGTAGAGGAACATCAAATTGTGAGCTGTTAGAAAGAAAAAATTTTAAATGTGTTATCGTTGGAGGCTGTCTGTTTAATTTAAGTTAAAATAGAGTATGAAGGGGGTGATTTGACCTGCTCTGAATTCTGCTCAACAACAGTCCTGGGTGGCTTGCTTGTTATGGGTCAGTGAGGAAGAATGTGCATAATATTCACATCGACAAACAATGACCAGCTGTGTTGTTGGTGCATAGGCTTTTGGTCTGAGAGTTACAGGGATGTGTCAGGAATGTCAGGATTTACAAATGG